ATAATAATAATAATAATAATAATAATAATAATAATAATAATAATAATAATAATAATAATAATAATAATAGTATAAAATTATTTAGCAGCCATCTCACCGGTGATGTCATGTGGAACACAGTCTTCCTGGCTGACCGCTATTGACAGCCACTATGTGAACATAAGCATTAGGCAAGCAGAATTCTCCACAATGTGATTACTGCGTCGTGGGCAGTTCATACAGCCACAGAAAGTGCGGCCTCAGTCTATGTTTGACCCTACCTGCTCATCCCTGCTCCACAAAGAAGAATCATATCTCCCAGTAATCATTAGTATATTGACACCCAATCCCCAGTACTAACCCAGTTCAATCCCCCCTCCGCCGTCACAATCATATCATCAACATCCAGGCCCGCCGCGCTATGACCTGTCTCCCACCCAAATAGTCAACCCTCTTTGACCACGCCTAAAAGCCTACCAACAAACAACAGTAATAATTCTTCTCACAGATCGTTCACCTTTTCCGAAGACAAATACTTATATCGTAAACAAATGTAAAAACTTTGGGGAAAAAATGAATCTGCTACATCTAATTCTTTAAAGAAGTAATAATTTTTCAAAGTGTGGGACCCATCTGATTGGGGGTACGTGTCGCCTTGTCAGGCGCCCGATACTGCTTTTAATATCACCCACCGGCTTCCGATCCCCGATTCCCCATTTAGTAAAATGGCATTTATAACCAGAAAAATTGGAAGAGATGCATTATAAATCCTGCACATTAATCACTTCGTTTACATACCTCGCTATAGATCGATAGGATAATTTCATTTGCCACTTATTTTGAGCGTTCAACGATGTCGGAAATATATTTAGAAGCCTTCTAAGGGGTAGTGTGGTTCATTAAATTTCTTTTATCCGCATTTTTTTTACACAAGAGTTCCTAATTTTGTGAAAAGAGAAATTTAAAATGACAGGGCCGACGTGGTAATAACGAGGAAGAATTAGGGGCAAACCGTCATTTGAACCTACCCAAGTCGACCAACTTTCTTGACCGGTTCCGCGCGAGCGGAGCTCCTACGGGCAGGTTCCGGTGTTGGATCAAGTTCCCAGGGCTCCGGAGAACGCCGGAGAATCCCGACTCTGCAGGTTGGCTTCGCCGCGCTTCTGGCCCGAAGCTAACCGGCGGGCTTAGGCAGATGGAGAAGCCCGAAACGGCGCCGACGACTCCGTGGTTAGCCGCGAACTGTCGCTTCGGCCTTAAATTCGACCGCCGCCACTCATCACTGGAGTACCCGCTGACGTCTTCGTTCTCCATCGCCGGCGACATTCCACTCTTCACCGCGCGGCACGACCTCGGCGCCCTCCACGGCGGAGGAGCCTCCTCCTCCGCGGCCGACCAGAGCTGAGACTTCTTCTTCTTCTTCCAACGGCCGCGGATCAGCGCCGAGAACCAAGAACCAGAGGCCGAAATCTTGGGAGCTCCCAAAGCGGTCTCCGCCTCCTCCGACCTGCGATGCCCAAACAGGGTCCTCAAAATGGAGAACCTCTGTGTCCGCCCGCCGTCGATCTCGCGGAGCCTGTCGCAACCGGATGCCGCGCTGAAGGTTGGGCCTACCTGGGGGGTGCTGAAGAACCACTGGTAGTGGTGGTGGAGGCGGGGATGACCAGGGGAGGCGTCGGATCCGACGGACCTGCGATGGGCGACGTAAGGAGAGACGGATCGGTGGAACACAAGGGGAGGCTGCGGAGGCAGCGGCCACGGTGGGTCCGATCTCCAGCGGCCGTAGTTGTAGTTGATGGAGGACTCGTTCTGGGCGGCGATGAGGGCGAGAAGTCGCTCCCGGAGGCAGGAGGCACAGACGCCAGCGTTGCACACGCTGGGGTGACTCTTGCACGTCATCGCTCAGCCGCCTCAGCCACCTCGTCGTTGCTGATCCCCCGCCACCCTCCTCCTCCTCCCCCTCCCCTTACTGATCTTGCCATCGACGACGCCCCTCTCCACGACCCAACTAAATCTGACGAACTAGGGTTGGAGAGAGTCAGGGATGACGCGCTCTTCCTGCCTCGCCCGTTTCCCAAATCAACCAAATGGAGTTCTTGTATGCAAAATTTTGTTGGCATGTTCCCCCGAAATAGTTTTATCCTGCCCAATAACGCAGCGTGACAAGTGGGTCCCACGATGCTGTTGGTTATTACTTGGACATCTCATTCTTGTTTCAGGATAAGTCACTAGTACCTGAGGAACAGGATATCTCTGGGCCATGTGCCGCTCGCACGAAATGCTGCAACTAACTTAGGTGAATGACGGCCGGAATATCAATAACACTCGTCTACTCGTTCGCCGTCCCCGGCGGTCGTACCTTATGCTGATTGACGAACATCTTAAGGCCAAAATGGGACCCAGCGAGTTATTGCCCCTCTTTGTAGGCTTCTGTTACCTTAGAGGACTTGGCGCGATCACGTCGACGGTGGAACGTATACGGCGTACGGGATACAGTATGCGTCGAGGAAGACGGTCCGGAGTGACGTCCGTCTGATATAGAACGGACGTTGGATATGGCACGAATACCGAAACTGGGTTCGGCGTTGAGGACCGCACCGATGCCAATTTAATTCATTGGGTGGCAGTACCTGTCGCTGACATTGCCATGTCGCACAGACAACATGAAAGCAACGTACGCTTAGATTGCAACCAAATTAGATCTATCCGATTGGAGCATTATGCACACAAGATAGGCTGACTATTAAATGCGCCACATACTGGACCATCACCCGCAATTGATTCCTCGGTCATTTGTGTCTCACCAAATGGTCCAAAGTACGTCTACTTTGGCTTAATGTGATCAATTTAATAGATTTAATCTCGATGGTGTCTGTTCTATACATCGTCAATATCCTTTAATATACTTGTGAAATAACTATGATGTTCCTTTTTGGAATTGATTCAAAAAGATGTGGAATTGTTCTTTATATATTCTTATATGACTTTCGTATTTATTATTATTCGACATTTTAACCGTAACCTTTCAAAAAAACTAAAAGAGCAACAATAACAACAATAAGAGCAAGGGGAGAGAAAAGACGATGTGAGTGATCTTCATCAATTAACTCAAATGATTGATGATTTGAAGGAGATATCCATGCTCTAGTGCGCATCTTCTTCCTCACAAAACTTGGTGTACTCCTTGGATCCCATCAAAGATTTTACTTCGGATGGGTCACTGGGTCGAACCTTGATCATCCATCCATCTTCATATGGGCTGGAGTTGATCTGAACAAGAGAATCAAGGGAATAATTCGACGAGGTCATGTTCATTTCAGCTGCTGTTTCCAGTATGAATCACTGCAAAGATTGAGTTGTCTGATGGATGAAACTTGAGGGAGGCGGAGCTGCAGGAATTACCAGGCCAGGGGTTTCAGTGAGCCTGGTGTTGATCTCAATGACTTCACCCGAGACAGGGGAGTTGACGTCGCTTGTTGCTTTGACACTCTCCACTGCTCCAAAGCTGCTCCCTTTTGCCACAGCTGCGCCGGACTCAGGCAGCTCCACGAAGACCACCTCTCCAAGATGGCCCTGATCAGCAAACACAGCATGAGTAAACCATGATTTC